AGCAGGTTAGTGCGGTTTACTCAAACACTACGTTTGTAAAATAAACTATTGATATTTAATTATAGATGAATCAGTTGATCAAAATTTCGTTATAAAATGTGAGTACTTAAATTTGACTTAGGCCTAAGTCATAAACGTGTAAACGGAATCAAAATAATTTCTTTGTAGAAATGTTTATATTTGATTCGCCGGTAGTATAATCAGATGAATTCACTTTGAATACAATATGTCCTAAGATTAGACTAAAATCAAATGTAACCACACGATATCGTAACCTGTTCTTTAGAAGTGAAGTAATGTAGTAACACAGATATTTAATAATGTAATGTATTTTAATAAAATATTAGAAATTGTTAATATAATTGTTGTAGAATTTTTCACAAAATGATTTTCCGATGTTTAGTTTTCAAATTGTATTTATTACAATGTTGAATTTAAATAAACTTCGTTTGAACTTTGGCGCCATTAACTATAGCGCTGGTCATTGAGAATAGGCTGGAATCAAAATGTTTTTACAAAATTGATAGATTAAAAACTTGACTACTTTTCAAGGTTTTGACTGGTTATGCATATTTAAATTTGACTAGAATCATATAATAATGTGTACAATTGTTTTCTTAATGGCAATTAATTTACTAATGAGTAAAACATACGTTTACTTAAACAAGTTTTTAATAGTTACAGATTTTTGTTTGTTTTGTAATTTTGTCGTTGAATTAAAAATTTACAACTACCACTCGTCGCTAATAAACCCATAGACCGGCGAGTGGCTGGTAATGAAAATAGTAAAAGGAATTTTGCCCATTTAAATAAATTATTTGAAAGTATGATTATTAAGAATTTAAAACTTATATTTAAAGTAAAATCACAGAAAAAAGGGGTTGCCTGTGTTGTTCAAAGAATATAAAAGAAAAAATACCTTTAACATCAAAAGATAAATAGGCTACGCCTAGGGGAAAAAGAAAGGTTATTTAAAAATAAAACTTCAACACTGTACAATTTGATTATAACATTTATTATGAATATTTGTCCAGTCTTACTAAAAGTTAAAGGCTGGCTTATAAAAATTGTGAAATTTACATCTTTTAGCCAGAATTGGTCTGACAGTGCCTGAGAGAGTGCTGACTCCACCACCAGTCTTCTGACCACGTTGTGTTCTAGGTGATAGCCAGATATACTAGGTTTTGCCGTGCAGAAGAGGTAGAGCGCAATTTAGCCAGGAAAGGTCTGCCATTGCCTGAGAGAGTGCTGACTCCACCACCAGAGTCATCTAACCACGTTGTGTTCCAGGTGATGCCAAGGCAAACTAGGATTCGGCGTGCAGAAGAGGTAGAGCGGTATTTAGCCAGGAAATGTCTGCCAGTGCCTGATTTTTATACAGAACTTTTATTTTGGGTATTTTTACTGTGTCAGTAATGCGAGTTAATTTGGGCCTAAAATGATTTTCAATGACAGGAGATGACAGGGCCATGCACAGAATGTTGTACAAATAGCACCAATACCTGAGCACGATAAAAAAGTGGTATAATTTATTTCATACATATTTAAGACTGTATTTTATAATATCATGGAAATTGTACATATATATTAGGCCTATAATTATTAACGTCTCCTACAAATTAAACACCACGAGCAATGCTCGGTCCCCTGGTACTCAGAACCAAATCGTACAACCCGCCCGGTGTCAAGGACAAACGATCCCACGCGGTCACTGTCACTTTTGGTGCGAATCGCTGCTAGACTGGCGGGAACGTCCCGACGCGGCGGCGGTGTACTTGCATCGTGACGTCACAGGGCATGCACTCAGTCACGTGACTGACGATCAACTCTATCAAAGCAACAGTTTAGAGTTTACGAGCTGTCTCGTCGAGTCGTAAACAGATTTAGTTCGCGAAGCGTCCACCCGGCGCTCCACCGTCGCAGACTGCACCACCGCTGCACTGATGCGTTTGTTGCTCGCCAGTGCGCCACTGCGCGAGTGCACTTCGGTTCTGTTATCAGTAGTGGCGACCTAGATATGAGTGGACGCGTGTCTAGAACCAAGCCTAACTGTGCCCGCTGCCGCAACCACGGGATCCAGGTTCCCATCAAGGACCATAAACTGTTCTGCAAGTGGAAAAAGTGCAAGTGTAACAAGTGCAAGGAGACGGCAACAAGACAGCAGGTTAGTGCGGTTTACGCATATACCAAGTGTGTACAATAAACTATTGATCTATATAATTAATACGCTACATGAAACTGTGTCGGTTGAACTCCTCTGCCATTTCTTAACCGATTTTATCCATTGACGTCTCATTGGAAAGAGCGTGTCGCGTAGATTTGCAAACTGGCCTTACATTTTTTTTAAAGTCTCTTGGGCTCTGCCCCAGTGGCTATTAAAGTTCCCATGTTATCCTTATGAAGAACACAATTGTTTACATTTTGATCAGCTGTATAATTTAACTAGCTGTACCCGCGGGCTTCGCCCCGTTTAACTTCATAAGTGAGCTCGTAAAATCAGTTGATTTAAATTTCTTTATAAAAAGTGAGTACTTAAATTTGACTTAAGTCATAAATGTGTAAACGGAATCAAAATAATTTCTTTGTAGACATGTGTATATTTGATTTGCCGGTAGTATAATCAGATAAAGTCACTTTGAATACGATATGTCCTAAGATTAGACTAAAATCAAATGTAACCACACGATATCGTAACCTGTACTTTAGAAGTGAATTAATGTAGTAACGCAGTAATTTAATAATGTAATGTATTTTAATAAAATATTAGAAATTGTTAATATAATTGCTGTGGCATTTTTTATAAATGATTTTCTGATGTTTGGTTTTCAAATTGTATTTATTACAATGTTGTATTTAAATAGATTTCGTTTGAACTTTGGCGCCATTAACTATAGCGCTGGTCATTAAGAATAGGCTGGAATCAAAATGTTTTTACAAAATTGATAGATTAAAAACTTACTACTTTTCAAGGTTTTGACTGGTTATGCATATTAAAGTTTGACTAGAATCAAATAATAATGTGTACAATTGTTTTCTTAACGGCAATTAATTTACTAATGAGTAAAACATATGTTTACTTAAAAATGTTTTTAATAGTTACAGTTTTTTGTTTGTTTCGTATTTTTGCCGTTGAATTGAAAATTTACAACTACCACTTGTCGCTTATAAACCCATAGACTGGCGAGTGGCTGGTAATGAAAATAGTAAAAGAATTTTGCCAATTTCAATCAATTATTTGAAAGTAGGATTATTAAAAATTTAAAACTTATATTTAAAATAAAATCACACAAAAAAGGTTTGCCTGTGGTGTTCAAAGAACATGTAAGAAAAAATACATTTAACATCAAAAGAAAAATAGGCTACGCCTAAGGGAAAAAGAAAGGTTATTTAAAAATAAAACTTCAACAGTGTGCAATTTGATTATAACATTTATTATAAATATTTGTCCAGTCTTACTAAAAGTTAAAGGCTGGCTTATCAAAATTGTGAAATTTACATCATTTAGCCAGAATTGGTCTAACAGTGCCTGAGAGAGTGATGACTCCAACGCCAGAGTCTTCTACCCACGTTGTGTTCTAGGTGATGGTCAGGCATACAAGGTAGAGCCGTGCTGAAGAGTAGAGCGCAATTTAGCCAGGAAAGGTCTGCCAGTGCCTGAGAGAATGCTGACTCCCACCACCAGTCTTCTAACCACGTTGAGTTCTAGGTGATGGTCAGGCATACAAGGTTTCGCCGTGCTGAGGAGTAGAGCGCAATTTAGCCAGAAAATTTCTGCCAGTGCCTGAGGGAGTGCTGACTCCACAACCAGAGTCTTCTTACCACGTTGAATGAATGAACGAATGAAATGTGTTTATTTCCACATAATACCGAAAACAAAATCATACTTTTTAATACAAAATATACTTACGAAATAAAACTAAGACTATGAATAAAAATAATATTTCTGTATAAATTAATTCAATGGATTAGCCTATATGAAATACAGCAGACATAGGCAAGTGCTGCCTGTGCGTCTTTTGGGTTGCTATTTAATATTTAAAGTAACCAAATCATTTGGAATTATTGCCTATAAAAAAGATTAATAATGAAATGTATACTGTTGCTCAAAAAGTTATTAGGTTAGAAAGGATATTTAAAACAAAACAAAACAAGATAAATATTTATGCAAAATCTCAACGCTGTATATTAAACCGTTTAGGATGTTATTAATGGTTTTTTTTTTTTTTTTTTGTAAAAAAGACATCAATACGGACATACGGAAAACTAGGCACCCATGTTCCTATAAACCTAAGCAATAACACTATGTACCAGAGAGTTACATATAGTTAGAGAGTAACTCTATGTCAAGAAAGTTACGGGATACCCTGTATAACATTGATTCTTATACTATGGCTTAGGTTTAAAAAATTACAATACTCTAATGATTTTTATGCAAAATTTTTATTTTGGATATATTTACTGTGTCAGTAATGCGAGTTTATTTGGGCCTAAAATTATTTTCAATTACTTGAGATGACAGGGCCATGCACATAATGTTGCGCAAATAGTACCAATACGTGAGCATGATAAAAAATGTGATATAGTTTGTTTCATACATATTTTAGACTGTATTTTATAATGTCATGGAAATTGTGCATTTATATTAGGCCTATATTTATTAAAGTCTCCTAAAAATCAAATACCACGAGCAATGCTCGGTCCCCTGGTACTCAGAACCAAAACGTACAACCCACCCGGTGTCAAGGCCAAACGATCCCACGCGGTCACCGTCACTTTTGGTGCGAATCGCTGCTCCAGTCTGGCAGGAACGTCCCGACGCGGCGGCGGTGTACTTGCATCGTGACGTCACAGGGCATGCACTCAGTCACGTGACTGACGATGAACTCTATCAAAGTTACAGTTTAGAGTTTACGAGCTGTCTCGTCGAGTCGTAAACAGATTTAGTTCGCGAAGCGTCCACCCGGCGCTCCACCGTCGCTGACTGCACCACCGCTGCACTGATGCGTTTGTTGCTCGCCAGTGCGCCGCTGCGCCAGTGCACTTCGGTTCTGTTATCAGTAAGTGGCGACCTAGATATGAGTGGACGCGTGTCTAGAACCAAGCCTAACTGTGCCCGTTGCCGCAACCATGGGATCCAGGTTCCCATCAAGGATCATAAACTGTTTTGCAAGTGGAAAAAGTGCATTTGTGACAAATGCAGTCGTACGGCAGAAAGACAGCAGGTTAGTGCGGTTTATTCAAACACTAAGTTTGTAAAATAAACAATTGATCTTTAATGATAGGCGAATCAGTTAATGAAAATTTTGTTATAAAATGTGAGTACATAAATTTTACTTAGGCTTAAACGGAATCAAAATAATTCCTTTGTAGAATTGTTTATGTTTGATTTGCCGGTAGTATAATCAGATGAATTCACTTCTATACAATATCTAAGATTATACTAAAATCAAATGTAACCGCACATTATCGTATCCCGTTCTTTAGAAATAGTAAAGTAATGTAGTAACGCAGTAATTTAATAATGTAATATATTTCAATAAAATATTTGGAATAGTTAATATAATTGCTGTAGCATTTTTCATAAATGATTGTCTGACGTTTGTTGTTCAAATTGTATTTATTACAATGTTGAATTTAAATAAACTTCGTTTGAACTTTGGCGCCATTAACTATAGCGCTGGTCATTGATAATAGGCTGGAATAAAAATGTTTTACAAAATTGTTAGATTAAAAACCTACTACTTTTCAAGGTTTGGACTGGTTATGCATATTTAAATTTGACTATAATCAAAAAATAATATGTACAATAGTTTTTTAACTGCAGTTTTCTAATGAGCAAATCACACATTTACTTTCATTTTTTTTATGCTTTAAGTTGTTTTTTTTTTGTTTTGTAGTTTTATCGTTGAATTAAAAAAAATACAACTACCACTCGTCGCTTATAAACCCATGGACCGGCAAGTGGCTAGTAATGAAAAAAAGTAAAAGGAATATTGCCCATTTCAATAAATTATTTAAAAGTAGGATTATTAAATCTTATATTTAAAGTAAAATCACAGAAAAAAATTTGCTTGTGGTGTGAAAAAACAAAACGTGAAAATAATACCTTTAACATCAAAAGATAATTATATAGGTACGCCTAGGAGAAAAATATTATTTAAAAATAAAACTTAAAAGCACAGTGTACAATTTTATTATAACATTTATTATGAGTATTTGTCAAGTGTTCCTAAAAGTTGATGTTCGGCTTATCAAAATTGTGAAATTCACATAATTTAGCCGGGAAAGGTCTGCCAGATCCTGAGAGAGTGCAGACTCCACCACCAGAGTGTTCTTACGTTCTAACCACGTTTTGTTCTAGGTGATGGCCAGGAAAATTAGGATTCTCCGTGCTGAAGAGGTAGAGCACAATTTAGCCAGGAAAGGTCTACCATTGCCTGAGAGAGTGCTGACTCCACCACCAGAGTCTCCTAACCACGTTTTGTTCTAGGTGATGGCCAGGAAAATTAGGATTCGCCGTGCTGAAGAGGTAGAGCGCAATTTAGCCAGGAAAGGTCTGCCAGTGCCTGAGAGAATGCTGACTCCACCACCAGTCTTCTAACCACGTTGTGTTCTAGGTGATGGCCAGGAAAATTAGGATTCACCGTGCTGAAGAGGTAGAGCGCAATTTAGCCAAGAAAGGTCTGCCAGTGCCTGAGAGAGTGTTAACTCCACCACCAGTCTTCTAACCACGTTGTGTTCTAGATTATGGCCAAGCAGACAAGGATTCGCCGTGCTGAAGAGGTAGTGAGCAATTTAGCCAAGAAAGGTCTGCCAGTGCCTGAGAGGGTGTTAACTCCACCACCAGAGTCTCCTCTTAATGTTGATGACTCCCTTGACTCCAACTACTCTGCGTGTGCCTCCCCCGCCACGGGGTCCGCCCCTCCGTCACCACCACGTCAGCAACCCCGGCTCACTCCACCTCCGAGGCCTTTCCATGACGGTAAGAGCATTTTTTGTGATTGGGGTGCTCTTTCTAATGTTGTAAACCGTCGTTGTCTCTTATTACCCTTTTATCTTTTCATTCTCAAATAAATTTTCGGATATCCTATTGTTATGTTCTTCTTTGAGGGACAAATAAATCTATTAAAAAGTCTCGAAGCGAAATAAAATATTAATACATTTTGTATCCCTATTCATAAATTACAAATAATAAAACAATTAAACTCGTGGAACTACTAGCACGAAAATTAAAACTTCAAAATGTAGAGTAAAATATGTACATTGAGCATTTCCCGTAGAAGTAAAACAACTCGGTTGTGTTTCATACAACCTTTTTTATTTTAGTTCATATTAAGCCTCAGTTAACATGCATAACGTTATTATTATTAATATTTTTGTGCTTCACTAAATAACTTAATTTGTTGTATCACTCACTGGAAATATTTTTGTAAAAAAATGTACTATGTTGTAAATTAAATTGATTTAGCGAATAAAGATAACAAGTGATTGTTGTTCAAAAGTTTAATTGACTCTGTAACAAAAAAACTTATCAGTAATCCGCGTTGATTTTATCATGTGCTAATTTGGAAACGTTTCAAATCAGTGAGTTTTACTGTCCTTTGTTGCAACTTTGGCGTTGCAAACAAAAAGAGAAACACTGTTAACACAATCGCTATTATCAGGGTAATATTAATAGACAGACATTTAATTTTAGTTCTAGTAAACTATAACATATTATAATTATAACGTAGTTATAGTTAACGTATTATAGACGCTTCCTATTTTAACATAGTTGGTCTTTCCTCTTACTATTCGTGTAAACATGCATCACGTAAACATATAAAGTATCTAGTCATTTTAAAGGACCTGTATTTTGTTACAAATGTTATAATACTACACAACACTCTAGGCGCCTGTGTGCAGTATTTCAAAAGTTATATTGAATATCTTAATGTATAAAAACTTTTGTAGTAAACTTGTCGGTGCCCCACGTTTTGTTCGCTACATGTAATAAAGGGAAATTATTTTGCATTTCAGCAGCAACAAAATGAAATACTAATGTAAAAGTTTCAGTTAAAGCACATAAAAGGAAGAAAGATACAATGTATTATAGTTGTATATTGTGCATTTTACAACAAGGTTAAAAGAGTTTATATCTTATCGTATACGTATCTTATCACATGTATTACATAGGATATCTTATCAAAATGCATCCGTTTTCGAGACAGCTTTTTTTAACAAATCAAATTGGTGCATTGCATTTACGACAATAAATGCTCAACAGTCAATAGATGCTGTTGCTGTGCAAATGTTATAAATAAACTTACAGGTAACGTAATTTGGAGATACCGATCTAAGCACCCTAGAATGTCATTACTGACTTATACCACTGACTAATCGCAGGCTACAATTTTGTATTTGATTATTTAAATTTAATATTTGATGCATTAGACGTTTTTATGTTAATTTCTAAGACTCAAATAGTTAAAGGGGGCCGTGCTCAAATTAGAAAACTTATTGTTTAATCACACGATTTATGGGGCTTTATTAAAACTTTTGATATCTATGGAGCTAAAAAGACTGCAGGAACGAAGGAAATTCAAATCCTTATTCAAAAGATGAAAACTTCCTTATGCTTTGTAAGTTAGAAAATGAGTCGTGGGGAGTAAATATTGGGTTAATATGCGTGTGTTGGCAAAAATAATAACTGAAATTGTCAATGCTTTTTTGTTTAAAGCTGGTTGACATTCAAAATAAAATATTTTAAAAACTTTTCTGATGAAAAAACCATACAACCAAAAAACCATAACAAAAAAACTATTCTGAAGAAATTTACGTTATAAATAAAAACCAAGGCTGTTTTAAAATAACCTTAAAGGACTATATAAAGATTTTCCAGTCGTTTATTTCTAGTTGTGAAACACGGGATAAGGTACTAGTAACTTGTATAGTTCATGGAGGAGGCATGTCATAACACTGACCTTCCAGGCAACCATATTTGTCCAGTATAAGCATTGACTTTGAATAGAGCAAAGCTTTTATTTGCTTTGTAAACTCTAAGGCATTGCCTTTGAACTGTTGAAGTAGACCTCACGTTCTGCTGTGAATTCTGAAGCCCTTTTAGCAAATTTCCCTATAGGGAAGTAGCTATTACCGTAGGTCTCATGGTAAGACTTAGGCCCGGGACCGATTAACTTTTTCATTTTGATGTCCCCAGAGGCCAAAAACACCATTCGTTCAAATTTTTATATATATATATAGATTTATATATATATATATATGTGTCCGTGAACACGATAACTTGAGTAATTTTTATCCGATTTTGATGAAATTTGGTTTGAAGGTGTAAAGCGGGATAAACTTGAATGAGTTCGCGATCCAGCATGATCGGACCACGGGAACAGGGTTTTATGGGGGGTTTTATGGGGTAAAAATTGGTTTTTCTCACTTTTGACCCTCAAAACACAAAATGTCCCATTTTTTCTCTAAACATTCTTAAAGAGCTTAAAAAAACAAACAATTCAGTATATCAAAGTGTTTTTGTACGGTTATTGGTTACGGAGAAAACTAAAAAAATTGTAAATTTAAAATTCCCATGTTATTCTTATGGAGAATATTGTAAAATGTTGTAGTTTGCTTGTTTATGGATATATTTTGATTAAACTTGGCAAATTTATTTATTTTATAGTAAGCTATCAATATTTTACTAAAAACACACTTTATTAGTTTCCTTGTAGCAGCAAACCTAGGTACCCGTTAAACCTAATGTTATTTAAATAGATCAATTGAAAATCAATTTAGCCAAATGGAAATTCGCTTAGACGGCAGGTTTGCTGCGGCGGGGGTATTTCAGGTATGTTTCAGGTCCGCCATTTAAATATGATGTCAACCGTTGTTGGTATTCTTTTATGGATGTTGCTTTAAATTTTTTCTCAACGATAAAGTTGTTTCCCTACAGTTACCTGACAAAGTGGGCTTCCTTGCACTGATTGTAACACCCAAAGTAGCTAACTGCTACATTTACCTACTTTTTACGCACTCATTTTCTCTTGCCGCAGCAATTATCAACTTTATGTTCTATAATCGGTGCAAGGAAGCCCATCTTGTCAGGTGACTGTAGACAAATAACTATTGAATCTATGAATGAATTCTGTTCTGGTGTATACTTCGTGATTCGCAACCAGGCAATATTTTTCATTCGATCTTTATTTTTAGTTTTTAGCTGGGTAAACAATACCAAATAAATAGTAAACAGAAAAATAACCACTGAACTTCCAGAAAACACATCAAATTCTCTCTGGCTGATTCATAAGGGTGATAAAACTGCAAGGGAGTATGTTTAGGGTCTCAGTAACAATAACTCCCCACCGAAGTATCCGACACTTAAGTGTCCAATAACTGCGACTGTGGCTCTGCTGGAAAAGACCAGACTCAAGGACTCGTAAAACAAAGTCAGCCGCCGACATTAAGTTTAACTATAAAGGTGGATGCGACTTTGATTGATTTGTAGCCGGCTGTTTCCTTCAAATAAGCTGCTTTTATGAGATGCGCGAGGTTATTCTGAACATGTGTGTTTTTAATTAATGAGACTGTGCTATTTAAATACATCTTATGAGTAACAAAATTATTTTTTACATATTCTCTGCAACGCTACAACTTATAACATTATCATTGAATTGAGACAGGGATACAATGATGTGTATTAACCTAAATATGGCCGAATGATGTGTGTGGAATGTTTTAGCAAGATTTTTGTAGCTTTGTTAATGACCCTAAAACCGCTCTCTGTTTATCCATGGATACTAATTTGGCATTGACTATGCATGCCCAATAATAAAGCACAGCTGGGTTCCCTTTGAAACAATTAAACATTTTAATGAACAATTTCAGGTTTGAGCTTTCAACCTACTGATTTGTAAGTGACCACCACATTCTACAGCAATCCATAATCTCTAGTACAGTATTATTTTTTTAAGCTGATGTATTATTGTCGAAAGGTCAGATGATTACGATTTAAGTAACGATGGTGTGTTGTAAAATTGAATAGGAACCCTTAAGTGTTTCTATGTTGTTTATGGAGAACAAGTTTTTATATTGTTCAAATCCAAATAGATTATTAATCTTTTGACTTTTTGATAGATATTGTAAGGGCTTACCTTAAGCAATCCTAATATTGTTAATCCGATATCAATTTCGAACCCGAAGGTTCATCTTCATTCGGAGTCTAGGTCGACCAAACGTCTATATTAGTATCCACCCGATACTAACAACCCGTAATGTTTTGAGTTTGTAGAAAATATAATTTATCCCTTTCACAAATCACAGTTGACACAAAAATTGTACACAAATTAGGGATAAAACCATGGTTTTATGTAGGTTGACCTCACTTTAGGTTGGGAACACATGGCCGGCTACTGTCAAAAGAAATCATATGATAAAGTATACATATATACATATATCATAGTATAAAGTACGTGCTTTTCTGGGCTCAAAGTAGCGGTGCACATTACACTTACGTCCTTAATCTCGTATAGACTCTGTCGCGGTTGCGCCCATCTAAACTGTAGTTGTAGAATACAGGAGCCAAGGTCTTGTGAAGTCATGATGTGGCATTTTGAAGTGTTCAGAGACATACAGTTCTTGACACATCATCTCTCCACAGTTGAAAGACTATCCTGGAGCTCATAGAAGTCATTTATAGTAATGTCTGAATACCGCTTGGTGTTGTCTGCGAACAAGAGGTGCTTGATATGGATGGCTCTGGAGATGTTGTTTGAAGATATTAAATAGGACATGATCGGGATGTGAGTTCTGGGGACACCCGATGTAGCAGAGATCAATCTTGAGGTACAGGAAGCAAACTTTGCCATCAGTTTCCAGCCACAGAGGTAAAATGAAAATCAGTCCAATGGGCCGTGGATCCATCCCGTGAGCCGACAGTTTGGAAAGCAGGTGAGGGGGACTGACCCTGTCAAAGGCATTGGAAAAGTGAAGGAATATTGTGTCAACCTGCATGTGATTGGAGAACGAAGAAATTATGTCGGAGTGAAACAAGATCAAGTTTGTCATAGAAGATCCATCCGGTGAGAAGTCATGCGGCAAGATAGAACTTTGAAGTAGCGGGAAGACCCCTGACAGAATTAGCTTCTCGAAGACCTTCGAAATCACTGACTGGAAAGCGATCGGTCTGTAGTTGTTCACCTCGGAGATCGAGCCAGACTTTTGTGTATAAAATAACATAGAGGTGCACAAAAAAGTTACAACATGTAGGACAACTTGTGAAGAGAAAATTTATGCCAAGTCCCCTCAATCTTTGTAGGATGTGAAATCAGTTTAATACATGAGGTTTGATCAATTCAGGTCATAAACTGCCTAAAATACTTACAATACCTAATCTTTTTGTATTCTGAACTTCACATATGACATTTTAAATCCACTCAGTGTAAGAATATGTTGTGATTATATTTGCTCCTTCCCAGTAACTCGTGTCCCCAGAGCCAGTAAAGTGTGGATTTAACGCGACAGTTACGCGATAAAGAGACCAAGATAGCAACAAAGTAGGTAGTGAATTGCTGAGCTCGCTTCGCAAGGTCAAGTAGGTTGCATCACCACAAGCCGGTTGCACTTAGCGTGCACAATTTGGCACAAGTGTCGATGAATTATGCTCAAATACTTGCCAACTGCTGTGGAGACGCGTCTGTAAACTTATGTAATATTAATGTTGACTATTTTAGTCATACTTCAAAACTATTGGTCAAAAGAAACTTTATTTATGATGTATGATTATTTCATCAGCCATCGAGAATTCCTCTACTCGTGTCCTTCCAGTTTTAATGTTTAAAATGTTGGTTTGTTGCACTATACGTACACATTTTAGTTTTTCTCTAACTGCAGCGATAACGGATGTTTGCATACATGAGTAACGTTCAATTATATAAAAAAAAAAAAAAAAAAAAATCTGTTCTTAAGACCAAGATTGATTTTCCGAAGCATACTCGCATTTAGAAATTTGAGTTATGTCAAATAAACTACGATATACAACTGAAACTGCTTGCAAACATATTTCACGGTAGTTACATTATCACATAAAGCTGCCGATTTCTTAAACCAACATTTTAGTTACTAATTTTTTTTTTTAAGAATGTATCGTAAAAATAACTTGATGAGCTCCTATTTTTAAACTAGATTACTTTCTACACCGAGACAAACAAATGAATTCTTTCAAACTCAATGCTATGTTTTCGCAACACGTAGTAGCGAAATAACTTTGTTGCGATAGAGAGAGACAGAGGCATACAAAGTAGCCAAGCCAGTTTGATAAGCGGTGGTCAGTTGTTGAGGAGGCGTCGCTACGTCATAGGTCACTGCCCTGATTTTGGGCGAGAGCTATATCTGTTTCTCAGACGGTTTGGTCGGACAACGATTTGACTTCTGCTATGAGGCATTATCGTTGTTCTTTAACATCTTTTTTTGGACTCCGATAATTGATCATTTAAATCGCTCCATATTTCTTAGGAATGACAGTAAGTGAATACGAAACTCGAGCTTGCAATAAACATACATAGAAAAAATGCTAACAATTTACGCATAAAATGTGAATAAGAAGTTTATTTTCCTTTCAGAATTAAGACGCAGTTGACATCGTCGAAAATAATAATCAACGCTAAAAGAATGTTAGATTTTTTTCATTAGTTTTTGATAATCTAATATTAAATTGTACATGAAACCGCCTCAACAATTAATAATCTTGTAAGTATTACCAGGTTAAATGTGGATTAAGCGATAGTAATCATTAATTTACAGCGCTGCGTATTTTTGTTGGGGTTTCAAAATACAAGCAAATTCAGCTTTGACGTATAAATGGGCTGTCAATTTTATTTTCCATAGTCGAACGGTTCTTTCTTCGATAAACGTTCTAAAAATGCAAGCAAAAACAAAATTGTTTAAAGGCTCATATATGAGTATTGAGCCTCTTTCATATAAACATCACACTATACTGTTATGCAATTTATGATGCCCAAAAAGTACCAAATTTTCAGTATAAAATGAAGAAGAAACCCCAGATTTACAACAAACCACAAACTATTCAAAATCCTCGATGGTTTCTCAGCAAATAAATTCAAGTGCAGTGCATCCATAAAAACACATCTGTCACAAACCAAAGCAATGGTGCGACGACGTTAACGCACTCTTTGTCGCCACGCACTCGTGAATTTATGGCATATTTACGATCAGACGGCCTACAATGCTCTTGACCGATGATTGGTTGTGTGTATTGCACAGACCAGCTGACCAACAATCGACTGTGTTTGTCCTGAGTGGTTGTGGACGCGGGCTCTCGAGATCGTGAAATATGCTCCGTTGAAAACCTACGAATTGAAAATGTAAACAAACTGGACACTTGGAGGACCATATGTAATCAAGCACGTGTTCTTAGTTTAAATGCCGTGTTCAATGATGGTGAGATGACGTAGTTTACGAGACTGTAACGGACATTTTCTCCAACGATTGGTGAGAATCAAAGTTTTCACGACGTTTCGAGATCAGAAACTGGTCCCGTACTCAGGTGAGAAGGCACTTAAATTAGAATATTATGGTTTCACAAGCCAAGCCGAAGTTGAAAAAACACTATCTGAAAACTTGCTTTACATTCAAAGTTTTTTTAATGTAAAGGTAGGGTTGTGACCCATCATTTCAAACTGGAATTTACGCTGATTACAATGCCACAATTCGTTTTTAAAAATAAAAAACTTGTTTCAGCAAGTGGAATCATTTTTGTCTACATTTAATACCAATGTATTAGTCAATTAATTAGTTTTTGAGGCATGACTGATTGGATGATTAAATCAACCTATTTATTAAGCTTAAATAGATGATTGATAATCAATGTTTTAAGGTAATTTAAAGGTATTGTGGTCCCGTTTACGCAGGGTGTTTTGTTTCTTGTTATTTAAACAGCGTTTAGATAATTTCACCTAACAAAACGATCCATCCATAAACTATTGTTGATTCTCATTCGTTAAAAAAAAGGTACAACTCCTAAAATCAATCCTAAAATAACAGAAACATTTAGTGGATATTGGCCCTGAACGTTAAAAAAAACACACACACATATAAGAAGTACAGTAAATGATTTCTACTTGCACTGTTAAAAACAGTGTTTAAAAAGTGTAAACATATCACACCTATTCCGAAAAGTGGGTGGGCTTGTCTCCTGTTCAGAAAAATTTTATAAAAATTCATTTTTTGCAAAGAAACGAACACACTTTATTGGTGCAGACGTCGGTTTTGGATTTTATGGAGGTTCAGGGTTTGAAAGCCGCCTTAGAATTATCACTTTACGAGTGGTTCTAATTATTATGAACTCCTGAATTGGCGTTATTATCTTTATTCTGGCGAAGGAAGGTTGCTAGATAACTGTATGGTTTGGTGTTTTTTTTTTTTCATTCGGAGAAAACACATTACAATCCAAATTATAAGCCTGGGTCCAGAGGAAAGGTTTGCTTCCAAATCGGTAAAAAATAACTGGTTTGTACAAATAATAAAAAGGGCTATGAGCGTGAACTAAAATGTTATTTGCGTTGTGACTTGTAACACTCCTCAACATTTTCACTACTTATGAGAATAAAATTGGCAATCAAGCGTTCTTCTTGTATTGTATTCTTTGAGCGTGGAAGTGACTTTGCCAATGTTGCAAAATATTTTTTTGTTTCAGCTACTGATTTGTGGAAGTCCATCGTAAAGTTGATAGAAACGTGTCATCTTCCACTCAACATTTCGCCACTGTTGTACATCATCTTTACGGAGATCACACCGAACCCAGATGAAGTCATTAAACGTATCAAAGCTGGTGAGTTATTGGTGTTGTTGATAGAAATAATGTATTTTCCGAAACGAAATGTGGGTGCAAAGTTTTTACGGGATCATTGTATCAGTTTAAAAGACACTTAGAGTCGTAAGTGTTCAGTATGAACGTTTAGGAAATATTTTGGATATTTTGCGGTAGTATATGTTTTAAATACAGCGTGATTTGTACTCAGTGTGACAAAATTTTTTTGATGTAAGTACAAAGTAAGTGCAGTGTGATGATGCATATAAAATGTTCCAAGTCTAAAAATTAGCTTACCAAAAAAATATTTTATGTTTTTCAAAAATAACCATGCTTTTAAACTTAATACAGCGATTTCTGAATTACCTGTAAATGGATTTGAGTAGATAATGTCATTTTCGTGTTCTACATTAAATTTTGAATAAGAATAATGGAAAATGACGGGGATCAGTTGTAAAAACTCCATTGTAAATACATTCAAAGATAAAAATTAAGATGTTTTATAAAAATTTAAAAAAAAACATTGGACTATTGCATTTGTTCACACCCTGTATACAAGAAAGTGTCGGAATATGTTAAAAACTGCGCCATTTTATAAGCTTTTTAACCATATGCTACACCATTGAGCTTTATCTCTGCTTATGTACGCTTTAGTGGTTTGAAGACTACAAAGCATGGTGTCTTTAACATTTAAAACATACAAAGTCGGCATGTATTAAGCAAAAGTTGTATTTTTGTTTCAGCTTGAACAGTAAAAACATTAAAAAAGTTCCCTGTTTTCTGGTATTCAAACCATTAAAACAAACATAAAAATATCTAAACTTCAACAGTGTAGCATATGGCTGGAAAGCTTATAAAATGGCGCAGTTTTTAACATATTCCGACACTTTCTTGTATACAGGGTGTGAAAAATGCAATTGACCATTTTTTTTAAATTGTTATCAAACATCTTAATGTTTAATTAGAAGGACTGTGCATTTATGGTGCCGTCAAGTTATTATGAGAATATTCAGGAGCTGTTGGCCATCTACAACTGGATAAAGTTGAACTGATCTTTTTTTTTCAAAAAATAGTCTTGAATAAAATTAAAAGATTACCTTAGTACCAAAGCTGCACGTAAATCTCATACATCAGTCCATCCTTCATTCTTTCATATTCAGGTTACAAAACGCAGCTTGGTGTCGCTGTTATACATATAAATAGTATATTTTCTTTTGATAGTAGTTTTATGTATTAATTAAAATAATTTATTTATTTATATATACAACTAGTAAGGGCGGTGTAAACAATTTAGATAATGCTATTTAGATTGCCTAGGGTATTTTGAAGGGGTCCATCCTCAAAAACGGTGTATTTATTTACAGAAAAACGTTGTATTCGATACATATAATGTACATCTTCAAGGTACCTACTATTCATTTATCCTTACTCTAATTAAGAGAAGGGCATGATTAATATTGAGCTATAGAACGCAAAAGGATACAGATTATTTTTTAAATAAGGATAGTGTATGCCAACATTGAAACCTATATTTAATTTATTTTCTATGTTTGTTTGTTCTTATACATTATTTTAAGATTTTTTATTTCTATCCTTATATATATAAATCTTTGCTCAACTTTCTCAACATTTTGGGACGTACAGACAATCAAAAACAAATTTTCTTGAGCTCCAGAATAACAATTACAGTTGGTGAGAATAAACCATATCCAACCCGTTAAAAACTAACCTAACCTAACAAAAACTACTGATAAAAAAGTGTCGTGAAGATAAGAAGGCCAGTTGCATCATAATCGTCAGACACTCTTATCTTTTTTATAAGTAGAAATGAGTTAATTTTCAGCCACATATAGCCGGACTTCTTTCACGTTACTTTGATATCAAGCTTAATCACAATAATTACATCTTAGAGTCATTTTGTAAATTGAATGACTATTTTGCAAGAAACCTTACCCTATGACTTAATATGCATTTTTCCAGCAACATATGTGGCATTCAATCCCAATTTAATTACATTAGTAAAATACCAGTGAGAGTTTTAAGAAAGTAAAAGGATTTTCTTTAGAAGTCTCTTTTTTATATATCTTTACATCTTTGACTAAATCTATGATTTATAGAAAATCTGCAAACTATTATGCCTTTGGTTGAATGTTTCTTTTTCAGCAGCTGGGAAGCCATATTGGATAAGCGCTGGGCAATCTCAATGAAGTAAGAAGGTCTTCTATAAAACACCATACTGCTGTGCATCATTACGTATATCTTTGACCACATGTTTCTTTTCCAGCAACTGAAATGTTGCATTCAATCCCACGACTCCTAGAGATGTGCATGATGCCCGACAGCACCATACCTCTTCTCATAATAATCCTCACTGAGGTCACTCCTAATGCTGACGCCGTTTTCCTTCGCATGAAAATGGGTAAGTGCCATTATTGTTGTGGCTTTGTTTGTTGTTTACTTAAAAATATAAAGAAAAATACGTTGACTAACTTATAAAAGAAAATACATATACCAACTAAATTTGTAATTCAAAATATGTGTTCTGTACTTAAAAAATAACACTTCGAAGAAGCTGATTCAAAAGGATTTCTGCTTAAATAATGTGATCCTATGTTTAGGGAACAAATTTTTCAAAAAGGGTAAGAAAGGAATGTTGTATAAATCAATAGTTTAGACCAGACTTTCTTTAATACTGGTATATTATTTATATGTGTATCCACATAAACAATAGTAATATTAACAAATTATATCCAGTTGCGTGAGTGGAAAACAAATAATAGGTGCATACACTGTTTTTATTATGTGTTTATAAACATAAACTTTGTTTTAGTTGTTATTATTATTGGTATTATTGTGTGTATAAGTCATTGTTTTGTATCGAATACATGACAATGCGTCTAAAGCTTATTTGTTTTGCATAATGTATCTTTGTCTACGAGAACTTATTTTACCAAAAAAAGGCTAAAACATATTTCTTTGTTCTAGGGATTACATTTCACGTCTCCAAAAGTTTAAAGTTTTATTTCAATAAAGTATCTGAGGATTTTTTAAATCAATATAATATTTCCGATGTTATTTTAGTGATAAATATATTTAACTTGTATATTATTTCTTATGATTTATATCTTTTAACATTACTATCAGTTCTGCTTTTTAACCTAAGAGCTAATATCTATAATTTAAAATATTTAAGCAATCTCAAGAATACACGGATATAAATAAATGTTCTATATTTGCTTCAAGAAACAAGAAGACATGGGATTATAATAGTAACATTAATGGTCATTTAATCAAGACTAATTAATCAGATATATTTGTCTTATTTCAAATAATATAAATCCTCAGATTGAAGAATTGTTATGAAACTGAAGAAGAAGAAGAATTTAAGAAGATTAAGACACGGAAATGAACTGTTACTTCATACTGTAGGATCTTCTGGTGAAAATATTATGACATTGAAGAAGAAGACGCATTTAAGAAGATTGAGATATGGAAATCAACTGTAGATTCATACTATAGGATCTTCAGATTAAAATTAACATCTATGGAGAAATGTATAAACATCAAAAAATTTTTGCATTAACAGGACCTAGCTGAATGTCAGTTAAAACTCTGAAACTTCTTTTAAAATTATTGAAATATCAAAATTGGGTGAAAGTTTAATTTAAAGAGGAATTTCATGTATTTCAATCGAATTTAAAGTCAGTCATAGCATTCTTACAGGTAATAAAAACATTCTCATCTACATTGGATGCAATTTAAATCAATTAAAGACTGCTGTTGGAAGTTTATTTTTGGAAAAACAACTAACGGAATTAATTATGTTTATTTTTCAATATTAACAAAATTGCATTTAAAAAAAAATCTATTATATCAATCAATTTAAGATGTTTTGCAAATGCTACCTGAATATAAGAAGAAACCCACCAAGAATCAAAACATTGGAGGAGGAGAGGAATGATCATTTGACAAATGTTTGGAGCAAAAAGGAGAAGAATTTTTAACCAAATATTAACTGCGCCCATTTAAATGGCCCCTCAAAGTAATAACCTGAAAGACACGTTTGGACCAACTATATTATACAAAGTAGTTTTCCAATTACAATATGTATTTTTTTTGCTAAGATAAATCTTTTGCAATTCAGATATTTTTGTAATTGCTAATGCTATATCTTTGACAATTAATAGAACTTCAGCATACAAAAGTCAATAGCAAAACTAATAATACAATGAAAAATTGTATAAGATTTGATAATATTTTTGGATTTTGCCTAACGTTACTCTATTTTTGTCTTAAGCCAGGAGTGATTATACTCTTTATTCGTTTTCTTAACTATGTCTGCGTGCTTATCTTAGTAGTGTGCCCTTTAACACGTAATAGACCATTTTCTACTTCATACTTATATGATTGATCGTTTGAAATATTCACAAAAACGTAATGTTGCAAGATTAAAAATCAACAACAACTTTCTGTTCTACAACAACTATACCAACGGCTCAAGATCTCAGCAAAAAAAGATAAGGAACATAAGGAACATTATCTAAATTTAATTTCTTCCCGTCTGGAACATGCTACAAAGAAGACATTGGAAGAATAAAACTAACAACTATTATGTTTAAACCAAGTATATACTTGGGGAATATCAATTTAATTATTTAAAGGTTAATTTAGGTTAAACATGTTGAAGATGTTTAGATATCACCCGATTGTTTTGAATCCGTATGAATGATCTGTAAAGATTTAGAAAATTTATCAAGCATTGTCTATCAAGAAACACGAAATAGGAAAATTGAAAGAAAAAGAAATTATGGAAGAACTGCAAAGTTTGCTTCACACCAAACAGTTTTATTTGAACAGCAATATTAACTTTATAAATCGTTAAATATTTCATTTTTGAGTACTTTTTTTACATCAAAACTATTACAGTACTGCAATTATTAAGTAAAATGAAGTAAAATAATGTGTATACATTTATAAAATTGTATGCAGAACAAGAAGTGTGTATTTACACACTTGAATTGTATGATTTTTTTATAATTAATGTTTCAAAATTAATAAGTGAAATTGTAGACGACAATGTTTTATCAAGAATCTATGGAATTCGTATTTGCATTTCCCCCATCCAATGGCCTTGATCTGTTGGATCCACTTTACAGATAATAGGAATACAGAAATTATAACAAGGCAAGCGTCAAACTAACATTTGAGTAGCTGCAATATAAGCAGAAAAACAGATCATGAGATTAAAGTTTTACAAGGATTTAAAATAGATCGTTCTCTATTTCGAAGCCCCACATGATACTTTGTTTACCTAAACTAAAGTGAATATTGCTGACTATCACTCAAAAGTTCAGTGAGCAACTGAAAATTTCCATCTTTATGAAGTCATCAAATCGTAATTGTTTATGGGGAAGATGAAAACAAGACACGAAGAAGAAGATTTGAAACCCTAGGATGAGAAGCTGAGAAGATTCGACTCTTCGTGAAGGATTTAAATGGATGGTTATGGAAGTTACTAACAAAAGTTGTGTGTCAATAAAACCAACCAAACGAATTAACTACTGGTTTTTGAGTTTTTTTTTTTGTAGACTCATAATTATTAAAAGAGACTTGCACTCAAACCAACTCCTAATGTAGAAGAAAGAAAGAAAAAAGAAAGAAATAAAGAAGAAAGAATAAAGAAAAAATATTGGTCCACCAAGCTACCGAAATATTGGATCTAGCTTTTACCACGAAGACTTTATGAAAATCTACCTTACGAAGGGAAACGTTCCAAACATCTTTTTCTCACCCCCTTACCCCCCTCAATCAATCGCTTTGAAGCATTTATCAAACATTGCAAGCACGGGGAACCAAAATTGAGCAAATCAAATTTGTAAAAAGTACACTTTACGTAATCAGAAAAATGGCACGCGTAATCAAATACTTTGTACTTTGAAAGACCTAAGAAATTATATAGCCTGCATATACTGACTAGTGAACCTAAAACCTAGAAGAGGATCGTAACGAGTTCTAAAGCTGTGGTGCTAAAAGTTGAAAAATACTACAGTGCTTTCTAGCACATTGACAGTTACAGTGCTGTTGCAGACATTGCGAGTTAATTTATTGCACCTAGACAGGTTTAAAATACTTTCTGCAATACTTCGTTTAGAATTTAATGCCAAAGTCGTAAAACATATAGAAAATGTTTCGCAATAAACTGGATAAAGAGTAAAGAGGATCGAAGTTAGATGCAGGCCTATAAACTTTAACGAGCGGTGAGTTCTCAGTGCATCTACCTCTTTGCACTTTGTACGTTTCTACTACCTCTTTGCACTTTGCACGTTTCTACTTCATTTTGACACAAACTGTCTAGACTAGCAACTAAAGATAACTCAAGACTTAATACGGAGATTGCTGAAGCTATTTAAGAGCTATCGGTAACTGAGATAGCGAGAAGGGAGATGCTGCAAGTGAATACTTCCAAGGTACAGCTGGGACTGTTTAGTAAAACTATTTTACTTTGTTCACTATCAACGGATTAAAGGTCCCAATCACAGCTAGACTCATTGGTTGATTCTTTTAGATTTTATTTAACTAAAAGTAAACGATTTTCGGTGTAATGTTTTACGTTACATTATTCATTCATAGGCTACAGCGGTCAGTGTCATCTCTACTAGTAATGGAATCAAATAACTTAAATCCATTCTAAGACCAAAATTGTCAAGAATATAATGTCAAAAGCTTATGTTAATTGGTTCTTTCAGTAAAATTGCGCAAGTAGACATTGTGTTTCTGGGGATAGTTTTTCATCAGACGTGGATCTCATTACCAAACTTACTTCTAAACTAGCATCCTTGCCTAGATAATTACAGCCACGTAGTGATTTTTATAGTATATGTGATTGATTAAGTAGACAATGTATATTCCCATAATAGATTAAATCTGCAAGCAGTTTACAATGTCACTTGCAGCTGGCGAAGACTCAAGCAATAATGTTCAAGTTTGTCTTGGCTCGAAATATCTCAGTGACACACAACACGAAGTGTTCCGCAAGAATTTGTGCACCTCGTATTTAACTGTAATCGCCCCGATGTTAATTTTGTCCTTTTGGCCGAAGCGCATCTGCTCTTTTCATTGTGTCTTAACCTTTCGTAAGATTAGGTGAAGATTTGTATAGCGAAGTTGGATTTGGATGGCTGACAAAGATACCGAGAGGTGACATCTTCGAAGACCTTTGTTTAAAGTGGATTTGAAATTAGATCAAACGTAGTCAATAGACTATTAGCCTTAATCGTACTTCAAGGGGTGTAAACGTGGACTTTTAAGAACAATTCTCTTAATCTCCAGCTTAAGAAGACTATTGAACGTTAAACATGTCCTAATAACCTTTATTTCACTTATTTTTATTTATACTCATTGGCATAGCATGGCATTATA